TGCTCCAAATGACTTTGACCAAAGGAATCTCCTTGTTCCGCAATCTCTTGATCTTTCGATCGACGATCTGAAGTGGTTGATCGCGGATTCTGACATCACTGGTAAGCTCAATCTCCTGTGGCTGCAATATATGCGAAGGATCCGCGATGTACTTCCGCAACATAGATACATGGAATACATCGTGGATGCGACCGAGCTCTGGAGGTAGGTCCAACCGGTACGCTACAGCCCCGACCTTCGCAATCACAGGGTACGGCCCAATGTAACGCGGCTTGAGTTTCCCCGTCTTTCCAAATCGCGTATACCCTCTAATCGCCTGTACTCGGAGAAATACAAGATCGCCCACCTCAACTGTAAAGTCTCTTCTTCTCCGGTCTGCATAAGACTTCTGGCGATCCTGTGCGACCTTCAGATTGACCTTGATCTTGCGGATAACCTCTGTCGTTTCTTCCACAATCTCAGGTCCAAAGATGCGTCGCTCTCCGATCTCCGTCCAACACAAAGGCGTCTTACAAGACCGGCCGTATAAGGCCTCGTAAGGTGGCATACCTATGCTGGCGTGGTAGCTGTTGTTGTACGCAAATTCGCACAACGTCAGGTACCTATCCCAAGGAACTCCCCATTCCAGAATACACGCTCTCAACATGTCCTCGAGCGTCTGAATGGTTCGCTCCGATTGCCCGTCTGTCTGAGGATGATAAGCAGTACTCATCCTCAGCTGAGTTCCCATCGCGCTCTGTAGGGCACCCCATAGTCGCGCAGTAAACCGGGAATCACGATCTGAAACGATCTCACTTGGAACTCCATGCAAGCGGACAATCTCATCAATATAAATATTTGCCAGCTTCTCCACTGTATACTCCTGTCGGATCGGAATGAAATGTGCAGACTTCGTCAATCGATCGCCGACCACCCAAATAGCATTCTTTTTCGCTGGGGTCGTCGGTAATCCAACCACAAAATCCATCGCAATCGAGTCCCACTTCCATTCCGGAATCTCCAATGGCTGTAACTTCCCACTGGGCATCTGTCGCTCCGCTTTCACCTGCTGACAGATCAAGCAATGGGCTACAAACTCTGCAACGTCCCTCTTGATCCCTGGCCATGTGTACCACTGTCTCAAACCCTGGTACATCTTGCTGGCTCCCGGATGTATGGCCAATCGAGACTGATGTGCCTCTCGCAAGATGTCCTGTCTCAGCTCAAGGTCTGCTGGTACACAAAGTCGCTGATGGAGCCTCAATGCATGCTCCTCATCTATCTGATATCCCTTCTCACCATATCTGCTAATTTCCTCAATAATCTTCTGCAAATCCGGATCATGACTCTGTCCCTCTATCACACGTCTCCTCAAACTCAAATCATGATCCTCCTCGATTTCCATATGTCCTAACATAGCTGACAACTCAACTATGTTCTCCTGCGAAGATGAGAGTATCTGAATAGCTGATAGAATCTTCTTCCGACTTAAGGCATCTGCGACTACATTCGCCTTGCCCGGATGATATGCGATTTCCAAGTCATAATCAGCTATCAACTCAATCCATCTACGCTGTCGAAGATTCAGATCCTTCTGGGATATCACATAGGTTAAGCTCTTGTGATCAGTGTTGAGCTTAACCTTCTCTCCATATAGATAGGATCTCCAAATCTTCAACGCATGTACCACTGCCGCCAGCTCCAAATCGTGCGTCGGATAATTCTCCTCATGTTTCCTCAGCTGTCGGGATGCGTATGCAATCACATGTCCTTCCTGCATCAATACGCAACCCAAGCCTTGCTTCGACGCATCGGTATACACCTCATAAAGTATACCTGGCTGTGGTAATGCCAAGATAGGTGCGGTCGTGAGTCGTTTCTTGATGGCTCCAACAGAGATGGCAGAATTGAAGAAGCAGTTGAATGAGTTGATGGAGAAGGGATTCATTCAGCCGAGTGTTTCGCCTTGGGGAGCGCCCGTGCTATTCGTCAAGAAGAAGGACGGTAGCATGCGATTGTGCATTGACTATCGAGGACTTAATCAGGTAACCATTAAGAATCGGTATCCACTGCCGAGGATTGATGAGTTACTTGATCAGTTGCAGGGTGCACAGTGGTTCTCGAAGATAGATTTGCGCTCGGGATATCATCAGATTGGTGTGAAGGCCGGGGATGTGCAGAAGACGGCTTTCCGTACACGGTACGGACATTTTGAGTTTGTCGTTATGCCTTTTGGACTGACGAACGCTCCTGCAGTATATATGCAGTTGATGAACCGTGTATTCATGGATTACCTCGACGAGTTTGTCATCATCTTCACTGATGACATATTGATCTACTCACCGGATCGACGCAGCCATGAGCAACACTTGCGTCTGGTATTGCAGCGTTTGAGGGAGCAGAAGGTGTATGCGAAGTTCAGCAAGTGTGCTTTCTGGTTGCAGGAAGTTGGATTTCTGGGCCATGTGATTTCGGCTCAGGGCGTACAAGTGGATCCGGCAAAGATTGAGGCTGTGATGGAGTGGAAGACGCCTACCAATTGTTGGGTTTCCTGGGATCTCATGAGCGAATCTAATTCCTAAGAGATCGATTCTAGGGTTTGCGCAGCGGATATAAAACAAAATTTTAATGAAACCCTAGAACCATGCTACTATTGAATCATAGAAACGTTAGAACGCTTACCTCAATCGATCCGGGGCCTGTATCAATTGATCTGTTCGTCCGATCACTCTAGGCAGGGCTATGTTAGGACATATGGAAATCGAGGAGGATCATGATTTGAGTTTGAGGAGACGTGTGATAGAGGGACATAGTCATGATCCGGATTTGCAGAAGATTATTGAGGAAATTAGCAGATATGGTGAGAAGGGATATCAGATAGATGAGGAGCAT